AGAGAGAGAGAGAGAGAGAGAGAGAACTTATAATACAAGATAGACGACTATTGCTACGAGAGGGCAACTCCTAACACAGGGAAGATTATTGCCACAACGATACTGACCATAACACAAGCGAAACAGCTCACAACACAAGCACGAAATTCGAAATGCAATGAGACAGATCATGGGACAAAGAAGCAACTCATAACACAGGAAGAACAATCATATACATGTTTCAATACAACTGATTAGAACTTTTTACATCAGAAATACAAAAACCAGAAGATATTGAACTTGAATGTCGTCTTTGGTGACACACGATCAATCTGTCAATCAAGTGTCGTCTCCACAGTGAATGTTGGCTGCAGTGGATCTTCGATGTGCCCTGTCTCTTATCTTGATTTTGCTCTCTCTCTCTCTCTCTCTCTCTCTCTCTCTCTCTCTCTCTCTCTCTCTCTCTCTCTCTCTCTCTCTCTCTCTGACTGACTGCTGTTCGTCCGCATCCTGATTTTGTCCTCTCAATTGTGCTTTGTCTCTTTCTTTTGGCCCCGACCTTTTCTTTCAGTGTTGTTTTAAATAGAGTGTTGTGTCTTTTTGTGTGATTAGGATATGTCTGCTGCTTATTTGTGTCTTGCTCTTTCAGTGGCTCGCTTTTCTTTTGCGGTCTATCCCCGGCCACATTATTTGATTGCTCTTGTTTCAATTCCATGAAGTGCGACATGTTTTTCTGTGTGTCGGCGTTTCCAGAGACTCACTTCAGTATTTGTGATTGCTTGTTATTCTCCATGTTTCTGCACCACACAGCATAGTTGGGGGCAAATTGCATTTGGTGATTCACATTTCTGGGTGTCAATAACTTTCATATCCTACTGAAGTAAGTTTTAGCCATTCCTATTTGATGCCGAGGATGTAAAGAATGCTGGTCAAAAGTAATGCTATTCAGGTGGAACTGTGGGTTTGGATTTCGTGAATAGTGTTGCATGAAGAGAGCACAACCGATAATCTGGGGCTAAGATTGCATGAGAGAGAAGGGCGTCGAATGCACACAATTCAGCAATAACATAATATTACGGTTTGTGGAGGACGCTTTTTGACATGGGCTGCTCTCGATGGTCTTACTTACTGTGGGAGCGGCATATGATGTTCATGCCTTCTTATAGAACAATGTAACAGTGTTGCCATGTTCCATGTGTTTGCGACCGACGTATACGTCATACCCTAGCAATGGCATGAACGCAACAATACACCGAAATACACTGATGGTTCAGGTGGATCCAGGGCTGTATATGTCGTTTCTCTCGGACAGTGGGGCGCACTAGCTGTTTCTGCGTTTAGGTCCTAAGTCCCAATATATGCATTCAGGTCCTAAGTCCCAATGGATGCATTCAGGTCGTAAGTCCCAATGGATGCATTCAGGTCGTAAGTCCCAATGGATGCATTCAGGTCGTAAGTCCCAATGGATGCATTCAGGTCGTAAGTCCCAATGGATGCATTCAGGTCGTAAGTCCTTTGAACAGAAATCCCATTATATAGTCAAGACCGTTATGCGTGACCGAAGAGGTACAAAACACAACGGATCTAAAGGAGACAACCTCAATAAAAAAAAAAAAACGCTCAAGCCGGACTTACATGGCAATGGGCTGAATGGCTGCGGGCTAAGCGGTCGCAAGCGTAGAACGTCTAGTTAGCGGAAGAGGCGGTCCCGTGAATATGAACTCTTTTGAGACATCCCCTGCCTCTTCTTTAGCAGCGCGGGCAATACGAAGGTGACTGTCTACTTCCTGCGTTAAATTCTTTTCTATGGATTTTGTTTTTGAATCTAAAAAGATTCATCGATGGAGTTACAGAGATCGTGCTCTGTGCTTAATACCGTCTTCAGCAAGCAGCATTGAGAATAGGAGAAGACAGGAGAATGGAGAGAGACGTAGGCATAGAAATAGGAGAGCGGTGGCCCTGAAAATCAGACGAAAATCGTTTGGGATTAAAACATGTTAGTTTGGGTCACTGGAATGTTCGCAGTGCTAATCAGAGAGGGCCTGGACCGGAACGGCTGACTTATGATTTTGATATCTTCATGCTTCAAAAATTAAATACTAATTGAGAGTCCTGGATTCACCAGTTATATAAAGCCTACTGGACGATGAAGACACGGGCAATGTCTGCTGGTGAAGAATAGGGTGAAGCATGTGATTCTTGACCTGGGCCGATGGAATCATAGTACAACAGAGGTTTAGGGTATACAGGTAGATTACAATAGTACAACAGAGGTTTAGGGTTTACAGGTAGATTACAATAGTACAACAGAGGTTTAGGGTTTACAGGTAGATTACAATAGTACAACAGAGGTTTAGGGTATACAGGTAGATTACAATTGCACACTTTGGAATTTAGTCAGTGTTTATGCTGCTGTTGGCTCTCTTGTCACAAAAGAATAATTGGACCGGTTCAGAAAGTTAGAGGATATCCCTGGCAATAAGCTTCTCATATGTAGGGGTTTTAATGAGCGAAACATATCAAGGGACAGCACCAGGGAAAAAGGACAAGGAAATGATAAAGCGGAGACCATGGTTGGTGCAGAAATAGTCTATATAAACGATGGTGGAGCAGCCAGAATGATAATGAGACTTCGTGATTCAGATACGGCTATTGATTTAGTGTTTATTACCCAGTCAGCAGTGCTGTACACCAAATGGGGTGTCCTGCGTGATCATGGGAGCGAATTATATACTATGCTCAGTCTTGATTTCCAAAGCTAACCATATTAGGGCTTTGAGAACGCGTAAGATTTTCAAGTATGAAAGGGACAGTTCCCTTCTTGGACGCCTTCGGCAGAGGGTATGTAACAGAACCACCCGTTCTGCGTTTGTGCAGCCTCCATGGTGGACCCAAGAAGTTGAACAGGCATGGAAAGAAAAATGAGTAGCAGCTGAACAATTACAGAAAGTGCGAAAGTGACTTCAAAGGTTAAAGGTAGCGAGGCTGGGAAGTTGCCTAAAACCTCCAAGCAGATCAGTAGGCATTAAAGGTTATTTTACGGACTTGGACTCTGCAGGAACTTCACAGCCAAGAACATTTATAGAAATAACAAGGTTCAGGCATCAGTTACAAAAAAAAAAAAAAAAAAAGACCATCCTGGATAAACCACGAGCAGGACAAACGAAAAAAAAAAATTGGATTGTAAATAACACACAGTTTGACAAAAGATGAAAGGAGAACAATCAATACAATAGAATATTAAAGGAACACAACATGTAGATCCTCCAGTATTGACTAAACAACAGGAGGTGTGCTCAGATGGAAGAAACCATAGGATCCACAAAAAGACCAACATCCAGACCTCGACTAGCGAGAAAGGACACCACCATACAATGATAATGACACTAAACCATTGAATACGGCGCATGAACCCAGTTTTGGCCAGCAAAATTGGCACACGAAACACAGTCACAAGTATAACCAAAAGCTCTTTGTTTTTAAGGAGCTGGTTGAACGTCACGATTTCTTTTGTTTCCCCAAATCAGACAGACGGACAAATAGATTTTAAAAGCCAACAGACATCGCATCTGAATTTGAAGAGGGCAGGAGACTTGTAACGTCCAGACAACCCTTTAGTTGCCCTAATCCTGTCCTGACACGTTCAATACATATTAATTGTCACCGCTGTTATCGGTATGGCTAACCGATAGCAGCGATGAATAATATAGTTTAACCAACTCCAAAAGAAAGTAATATGCAATGAACTCCAAGAAAGCAAAAGGAAAACTTCCGAGGAAATACGGATATCGATTTGAGTATATAATATGAAGGTAAGGGCTATAGTGGCCACAAATTACATAAGGGTAGGCATTAACGAAAATATTCACAAACAACAACGTGCAAGACAAGACAATAGGTCCTAAAACTATCAAATACCAAGAGTTCACTAAGACAACGAATAAAAAGTGTCATCGTCGCTAGTCTGGTATTACAAAAAAAAAAAAAAAGATAAATTCAAAGCGTATATGGCAGGTCAACTGGTTGAGCCTTGGAACTGCAGCTGATACACTGAGGCTGTCTGGAGAAGCTGGAACTTGACGTCTACGTGAAGTTCAGTTAGATATCGACACAAATGTCCAACCTTTCTAGAGCGGTTCGGTGGCAGCAGAAAAAAAATAATATAACTTCTAGAAATCGTAATAATCTGCTGTTATGCTCTCACTGGAACTGTTACAGAAAACTCCCAAATACCTACATTCATCATTATCATCACGTTGTGCCATGTTCGTAAACATAGGCTGTCATGTTTCACCATCAGAAACGATCACCAGAAATAAATATTACTGCATCCATTTACCATTGCAGATCTTCTTCATTGTCTTTTATTATTGATATTACTCACTCCAACGTTAATTCCCTCACGTCTTCTAGATGTTCTATATTTTCACTGTCTACGAAAACAATACCTGAAGAGAGCACATATCCCTTTCGCACCCGACTCTTTAGAAGTACAATCCTACTTCATTATCGATTCTTATAGGAGCATATTGTTTCCAGCTTTTTTATGAATGAATCTAAGGTGTTTCCCCTCATTTTGTGGATTTGTAAGCATTATATCAAATCGACGTGTCTTATTCTATCAAATGCCTTTTTGTAGTCGATAAAGCAGAGATGATCTTTATTTACTTATTTTCAACGTTCTGTTACCATTCTCATGAGATATACAGCATTTGTTGTACTCTTGCCTTCTACGAGAACACATTGCTATTTGATTGTTCACTGACCTATAGTACACGTAAGAAATAAATTCCTGGAAATGCTGTACCGACAAAAGCACCCTACCCCTCTCCCCCCACCCCCCCCCCACTTTTTAATAAATATAATTACTAGTTCCACTGCCTTGTGACATTATAAAATTGCTTGACAAAACAAATCGTGATATGTCTTTTACTGATACAATAATATTTGTGGTAGACTAAGTCTCACATTGAACTTTCTGATCTCTGATTTTCAGTTCTCATTGACACGATCTGCTTGAGCCTGGACCCGACGGAAGTCGTAGCTCACCCTATGGACTGCACACACTACATCCAGTGTGAGTTTATGAAACCCATTATTCGACCGTGTTCAGGAGGTTTGGTCTTCAATTCCACAATGAAAACCTGTGTCAAACCGTCACCAGATCTACAGTGCTCATCTGTACAGCCCTGCAACAACATTAACGGAGGCTACTTCGCGCACCCAACAAACTGCAGGTTCTACATCATCTGTGACCGTGGCCGGACGGTCGTCCAGGCCTGTAAGATTAACTTCCTGTGGGATGATGTCAGCAAAACGTGTGTTGTGGCGGGGAATGGAAGCAAATGTTAAGCAAAGCATAGAAATGGGCTAGTTAAAAAGTAATTGGTCAGGGACAAATATTTTTGGTTAACACTTTGAAAAACTATTTTTGTCTGTGAATAATCGAGCTGGAGAATAAAGGGTACTTAATTTATAACTTACCCCTGACGTCACGACAACGTCACGGGAGACATTCCCAATAAATTCTAGGGTGTTCAGGTTGTATTTTCTCGCGATTTCTCTACAGCCAAGTTTAGGGTTAGGGTCAGGGTTTGGGTAAGGGTTAGGGTTAGGGTTAGGGTTAGGATTAGAAGACACTTGATGAACACTCAAATAAAAAAAATGAAAAAACAGCAAACAACAGCACACTTGCACCCCTTGAAATAATGGACGTCAGGTCAGCTGTGGATTTCCCACAGGGATTTCGTGTTTGGGGTACGTTATAAATTAAGAACCGAATAAAGCAAGCGGGTATCATTAGAAACTAATTTAGTTTAGGTTTTAATGAATACGGAATATCTGACATTGAAAAGACACAAACAGACGAATCCAACACTAACCTTTTGATTACATAACCGGCAGATGATAAAAATGATGATGATATTCATGTATACTTGCCTAATGATGTAAAAAGATTGTTCGAAAGCCCGATAATAATACGAAGGGAAAATGCTATTCAACTGTCTGAGAATGACATAACATCAATCATAAGTTTCTAGAAAAGAAACATGTTGAGACTTTCACCTCCGTTTTCTGTTCTTTATTCTCATTGCAACATGTCTTATGAGTTCTAGAGACCGGGGTTTTTACTTAATATCATATTTTCTTATGAGTGCCCGTTTTTGTTTTCCTTTCTTTTTGAATTTGTTTAATACGTAAAAGATTCAGTCATACTCTGAATGATGTAAGACATCAATATTGTAACTTTAATTTTCTTTCAACCTCAGGTAATTTCTTTTTCCCACGAAACTCCAGAGTCTTTTTTTTTTTCCTTTTGCAAAAACTTGTCTGGCGGTTTTCCCTGCTTCTTAAATGAAGTGTCTGATTTTCACCGCTGGAAGTGAGGTTTCACCACTGGAGATCACATGTTCATTTGTGTGATTTCAGTTAATTGATTTTGACATTTGAAAGCTATACAATAATTTCAGTATTCGACACAATGAATAAGGAGGTTACTGATGACTGCACATTTATATACAGGATATAGAGGTCACAGGAATCAAACAGGGAACTGTGATTGTAAGACAAAACACGACTAGAAAGTTTAGCCCGTGGAAAGGACGAACACATATATACAGTAGAACACATACACAGCAGAACTTTTCCACCAGTCATTGTCAACGAATAAAAAAATACCAACCTTAGACTTCATCACAGAACACACGAAAACAGAACACATAAACAGCAACGTTTACTGCATTATAGCATCGTCATCATTATGTAAAAGATAGATCATACGCAGACTGCCCCTCTATCCCAGTCTGTCAGGGTGAAATAACCAGGCAATTACCAAGTCTGTCCTGATGGTCTTTTGTTTTAATTCCCTTTAAAGTTAGATTCGTTTCCACTGTGTACAGCAGTAGGAAGAAATGTTATGGAAAGTAAAGATAGCCGACACGCTGTTGACCACGTCGTCACATACTGACTACTACTAGTTTATAAAATTAATGGACTAAGCCATTTACCCAACCATCTTCAGTGTGTGAGTAGAGTCCTTCACTTTATTATAGGAACATAATTGCTGATCAGCTTAGCATCTGCAAAATTTTACTCATTGCGGTATATATTGTGTTAAATATACTTTCATAAGAAATTAATTTGTAGGGATTTGCTTGATATCAAGGTAAAGGAAAGTACTGAATTTGTTTTGTAGGTGACTGGTCTAAATGTGAAGACTTGCTGGCTATCAAAAAAGTTGCCATCTGTTGTTTTATTCTTTTCACTTATAAATGAGACTGGTTAAACAGTTCAAGTTGGAGAGTTAACATTGACTGGTTACTCAGGACAACAACCATACAGCTCTACAATAGCTACATTAGAAACACAAAGCTGCTTTAAATACCTTATTAGAGACTAGAAGGGCACCAGGCCAATGATGTCATCGCTTGACTTCGTGTCACTGTGCACACATAACAAGCAATTCATGCTCACTATTTGTCAGCTTTTTATCGGAAGTATCTCTTAGAACGTCATTATACCCACAATGACCTAACTTTTTGTATTATATTCTACAACTCTTGACTGAGAATGAAATAATTTTGTTACTATATGCATAAATCTACACTTGCAAAATGGTCACAAACTTTTTTTCCCCCTTTAAACAGAAAACATTTTTTTATATATCGTATTTTTGAAAGCTAAGATTTTTCCAAAATTATTTTAAGGGTATATATATATATATATATATATATGTGTGTGTGTGTGTGTGTGTGTGTGTGTGTGTGTGTGTGTGTGTGTGTATACAACTTCGTCAATGAGTTGTGAACATTAACTGAAAGAGTAAAATGTAGCTAATGTTACCAAGGCATACAGATAATGTAGCCAACAAGGTGTCAAAAGAGTGCAACATAGAAATGGTAGCACCAATATAATAAACTGGTTGTTCTAAATATGCTGGTGACTGTACTGCAGCAACTTAGATAGCCTTATAACTAGAGTGATATTATTATATAATTAAGTATCATTAGGCTAGTCTGTATTAATATTTACTAACTTTTCTGTGGAAAGAAGCCGAGGCATAACGCACAATGACTAATGATTGATTTGCACTTTTCCGTCCTTCCAGACGAAAGTGTTATATTGCGCCATCGGGAGGCATGGGAATCACAGCCGATGGCGCTGGCGAGTGTGAAACAAAGTTTTCCGCAGTTATAGCATGGCGTTTGAGAACCATTGTTGTCAACATGTGTGTTCAGTGTGTTTCTTCTCAGACGCTCAGGCCTCATTCCTTTTGTAATAACTTCTTTCTTCATTCATTCTCTTCCTGACATGCCCCTTCCACACAATACGGTCCATTGCTTTTTGTTCCCACGAGTTCATCTAAAAAAATGTATCATCCCTGTCCCAATGACACACATCTTTATACAGTGGTAGTGGTCGGCCTTGACATGTTCTACCCATCATGTTCACTGAAGAGGATGTCCTTGGGCACTCTGCCATCCTCTATTCTCCAGGTGTGAGGTTTAACCCAGGACGATAAAGGCAATCCCCATGACTTTAATTAAATTCTATGTTAACTCAGTCCCAGTGTTTAGTTACCGCGGGGGCACATCCATAGTTCTCTGATCGTAACTACCTTTATAATGCAGCTTTCCTTGGCACGTTTATCTGCTAACCTTCTCAATGAAAGTCTTTATATCCCCATGACATTTCATGCGAAAAATATAGAGCTAAATATGTCCAGCCGGTTTCCTCAAGGCATTGGCAATAAATAGCCTTACCATTGAACTTAGTTTAGAAGATATGATATCATGACACTCTAACCACATATAACTTGCCAAATACGTCAGCATGTATTTGAGAAACACATAGTTGAAAGGAATGACCACAGAAGCAAGAGCGCCAGAATCCGGGGTCTTGGGTGTCATAATTACCCCCCCCCCTTTTCCCCTTCTCCATCCCCAATCAAATGTGTAATGTGTAAAAAGACAAAGCTATCTCTCTCCCCAACTATGTAGCATCATCATCATCCGGTGCCTTGCCGACTGGAGTGGGCGATCATGCCTTTTCACAATCTGAGATCCCCTGCACCATGTATTAGTTTGTGTGCTGACACACCTCCATGCCATGCAACAAGACTGTCAAGAATCTATCCCTTCTTCCACAGATCTTTCCTGTGGTCACAACATAATCGACTTTCCCTCTTCTTATAACATGACTGTCCCTTTTTCATATTTGTGATAATGTATCTTATCATGGCCTTGTTATTACCAACACCTTCTTTCAACATAGAGCTTCACAAGTTTTTACATCGTATAGATGGAATGATACAGATACTAAGAGTCAGAGTGATTACATCTTGACGAGAAAAAGAGATTTTCATGAAGTTACAGATTCGAGAGTTACACCAAACTTGAGTTTAGATACAGATCATATGATGGTAATACTTGACATAAGAGTCAAGATAAGTTATCAAACAAGAAAGAAATGTCATAAAATTGACATAAAAAATGGAAAGAACTAGAGGGTGAGGAAAATAGGCGAGCATTACAGCAAAAAATACATACAAATTAGGAACAACCCCCACAAAACACACTTGGAGTAAATCAAAAATGGGTGAATTTCAGAGACACCACTATAAAAATAGCACAAGAAATATGTGGAACTAAAATGGAAAGGTAACATAGGATGTAAGCTCTCAACATGGTGGTCTTAAGAAATTAGAATTGTGAGCAATAAAAAGAAAGCCTATGGCATTTGCTTGAGAAGCAGAACAGAAGAGGATATATAACATACAGGATAATTAGAAGATAAGTAAATAGAACTGTCAGACAAGCAAAAAAGAGATTCATGTTAAAAGTTTGGAAGCAAGCTGGCTGAAGAAAGAACAGCAGTGAAACACTACTAAAAAAATCAAGGGCATGAGAAACAGGAATGAAGAAAACAACCCAACAGAAATTATAAATGATAAAGATGGCCAACCTTTAAAAGAACCTAACACAATTTTAACAAGGTGAAGTAATTACTTTGAAGCATTACTTAGCTGCAATAAAACAGATGAAAGCAGAGACCAACATAAAAACAACTCGGAGCTAACGGCAGAGGAACTAGAACCAGGTATATTGTTAGATGAAGAATATGTCATTCAAACCGCCCCTAGACTAAAGGCCACAGGTATTGATGAACTTCCAAATGAGGCCATCAAAGCAGCAGGAGAAGCAGTTCAATGTGGTTGAAGAGAATATTTCAGGTGGCGTGGGAAAATCAAGAAACACCATCAGATTGGCAAACTGCTGTCATTGTGCCGCTATGGAAAAATAAAGGAAATAAGAAGGACTGTACTAATTACAGAGCAATATCACTTCTCAGTCACACTGGAAAAATGTATGCTAAGATCATCGAAAAAAGGCTTAGACCATTAATGGAGTATAAACTTTCAGAGGCACAGATGAGCTTTCGGTGAAACAGAAGTTGCACAAATGCCATTTATACATTGAGACAACTATCATAGAGAGCAAAAGAACACGATAAGACATGTTTGTTGACATTAATAGACCACAAAATTTAAAAAAAAAAAAAAAAATAAATAAAAACCTTTGATAAAGTCCACAGGAATATGTTGTGGGAATGTATGGGGAAAAGCGAATCAGCAATCACCTCATTAATATTTGCAAAAGCCTGTACACACGTAGTAAATGCTGCATAAGATCGAAGGCAGGATTGTCAAGAACTTTTATTGTGAACGCTGGTGTGTGTCAGGGCTGTGTACTATCGCCGCTTCTTTTTATAACATACATGGATACCATTTGTAAGGAAATGAACTTTAATCATGAAGAAGATATTACAGAAATACTATTCGCCTACGACCAGATACTCATAGCAAAAAGTACGGAATGTCTACAGAACCACCTAAATCAAATAAGTAACAAAGGGGAGAATTATAATTTGAAAATAAACACTAGAAGACAGAGACAATGGTGACAGGAAGACAAAAAGACGATTTAGAAATATAATTTAAAAAAACAACATCTCAAGACAAACAGGGGAATTTAAGTATTTGGCAGCAGTTTTCACATCCGATGGAAAACTGGACAGAGAAATTAGCTCGAGATGTGCTAAAGCTAATCAAGTAATGAGGCAACTATCTTCCATGTTGACACACAAGCGAATACCCTGGAGTGCTAAAGTGATCTTGTCATAACAATTTTTTGACCAACTTATTGCTATCAGTGTCAAACGTGGACACTTACATCCTCCAATGAACGTAAAATGGTGACAACAGAGATGATATGCATTAGAAGAGCTGCACGAGTTTTAAGGAAAGACAGAATACGAAATCAGACGACTGCTAGGAATAAAGCCAGTCTTACAGGTCATCTAAGAACAACAAATAAGGTGGTTTGGACCCCTAACAAAGATGCCCTGGTACTATCTGCCACAACGAGCCACACTGAAACGTTACAACGGGTATGGAGCGAGTTGAAGACCTCGGAAAATATGGAGAGATGGCATTCGGCTCATAGTTACAGAAATGAACATCAGTCCTAATAGTGCTCTTGAAAGAGCTCATCAGCGAATGATACATCTCGCCCCCCCCCCCCTTTCCCCACCCGACTCTTCGATGAGGTACAAGGTGGAAGAGAGGGAAAAGAAGATGACGAAGAGTGGCAGATATGGATAGTTCTAGAAAAACGTAACGCAAAATTACGAGTCAGATCAGATGTATAAGAAATGTGGCGGAAAAAAAAAACAAGAAGAAGAAGATGCAGAGCCACCGTCCCAAATGAAAAAATAAGAATAAAAGCAGGTACAATACCTGAGAATGATTTTATAGAACATCAAATAATCAAACGGTCGGATTATCTGGTCAGAATAGAACCAAATCAGCCAG